CGTTATACCGTTTTAAAAAACTCAATAAGCAAAGAGCGAAAAGCAACCGGTTACGACGGTGAATGTAAAATAATATTATAAATCGAAGGTGCCTCATTTTAACAATTTCAATTATGGTAAATTGAGTTCTTCAATAATTTCTCGCTGGGTTGCTTCTTCAATTTTTTCATATTGTTACCCCTGTATTGATTCTATCGTTAAAACCATTGCAACTACAAGTATTTCGGTACGTTGATATTAGTTGTCATCATTCCAAGCTTTCAAGATAAGTTTGTGAATTGTTTTGTGCAAAATACAGTTCATCAAATTAAAAAGACAGATTAAGTATTTACATAAAGATGGACCAGTTTTCGCATGATTTAACGGTAGCTTTGATGGAAGAGACTTCTTTATTAGACCGGGTGCGAGTAAGTAGGTGGGGCCAACGTAGAAGGACTCGTTCTGCAGGGAATTTGCGTAAGTAATGCACTGCTGAGTTATCTACTCATTAAATATATTTAAGAAGCAATTTATATATAAGATATTTAAATACGATATAAAATTAATGGTACACAAAAACTTTTTATTTTTTTTACTTAAGCATGTGCCCCACAGCCAACAGAGAAAGAAGACTCTTCTAGTAGTCCATGTGATGTAAGAAAAACAACGAATATAGATGGCTTAGACATAAAAAATATTAAATTACCAAATATGAGCGATTCCGATGATAAAGAAACATTTTTGCCTACTAAGTCGTCTTTAAAAACAGCACTTCGTTTGGGTACACTAGAATCAGATTCCTTAAATGAGACTTTCAGTCCATCAAGGTAAGAACTAATTACAAACTAAACAATGCCGGATAATCTTTTCATAATAACATAGGTTTTTTAAACCCAATGCCAGGAGAAAAAGGAAATTTAAAAGAATGTCAATGGAATGTGATATGGGTATTATAACATCTATACAGAATTCAGATACAAGTGTTCACCCGTCATCAACAATTGCAGATAATGGATGTATTTCAATGAGGAAGCGTGTTTTAAAGCCAGATCCTAATAACCGTAACAACTTTTTTTTCTGTGGAAAGCGTAAACGATCCAATCGTGATCGATACCAAGATTACGATAACACAAAATCTCACTCAACGAGTATGCCCCGTTATACAAATATAGAAGATAATAAAATACGTCCAAGAAGTTATTCTTCCACATCAAAACCTAATAGCGACCGTTTGTTACCTTTAAATAAAGGTCTTCTGTCAAGAATAGAAAAAATATCACAATTGCAAAAGACTGAATGTGTGCAAAAATCCGCACCTTCTTTTTTAAACAATACTGAAACAAACACAATGGGTCTACAAATACAAACGCAACAACAGGTATTGAAAAATCTTCGTAAAAAACGTAGCCAATATCGGCGTTCTCAGCTACAAGAATTACAGTTTGCTGTTGAACAGCACCCCATGGATTGCAGTAATATAAATGATTTTCTAAGTTCAAGTTCTTTAAGTTCTTCCGATTCCGATGACGTACAAAGCGCAAACGATACTGATCGTGAAGGAGACGATGAACTAACGGATTGGCCAGGGAATGAATGCGTTAGTGGCCCCGCTGACAATAAAAATGATGTTAAACGTAAGCTTACGAAAAAAAATACTAATTCTCTCATAAAATCTGAAGAAAGCTGTTTTACAGCTGTAATGGGTGAAGATGATACAATGATGTTGGGTAGTGAGGATTGGTCACCCAATATTTCAAGTGATAACATGGAACTCCGCTATCGACCATCAGAACCAATCGCTATCACGAACAAAGGTTTTGATTTGGGTCGTAGTATATGTGATGAGGGCATCATCCCTTTTAAACAAATAGAAAGCGAAATGTCCGGCGAAACGTCAAATCCATTCCTTTCTTCGCCACCATCACATTTAAATGAAATTAGAGAAATACGTGCTGGGTGCCGACGCATTAAAGATGAAAGACCTGGATTTAGCATTAAAACGAGTGTAAATGAGCGCCTTGCCCGATTTTTACAAGATCCAAGACAAACACAAATTCGGTTGCCCGATATAGAAATATACGAGCATGAAAGTTTACTTAATTTGGCTACATTGTACTCTCTACAAATTTCATTGACAAATGGATGTGCTATACTTAACAAGACCAGGTAATATCTATTCTATTATTTTTACGCATATATAAAGTAATTCAATTTAAATCTTACAGCAACACGACTCAATCTACTATTATTGACCAAAATGGTTTGAAAAATTGTTTGCTTAGTGACTTTAAAAGACGATGTTATGAAAGCAAAAATGACAGTGTTCCAAGGGAATAAATGTCTAGCACAATCTTACACCAACAGTCAACACACGATGACATAAAACAAACATAAATAAAATATTTGCTGTTATTATATGGTTTTAAGTAATAACGCTTTGCGTATTTATTTTATATGTTTTTTATGGGTATGAGTTCAT